AAATAGAAAAAGCAGGTGTAGTTGTACTTCCGGTGTAGCATATTCAACCTTCAGTACGATGTGAATTATTACTGAGTTAAGCAGAAATATTCCACAACACAGCCAGCCACTGGTTTTCTCAGGTACCAGCTGTGAAAATTACCACAGCCTTGCCCGTCCATAAAATGCAGCCCAGACACGCTCCTCTGCCAGCCGTTCTGTGCCTTAAAGGCTAGTGGTGGCCTCATGAAAATTTATGCAACAGTATAAAGAGGAGAAAAGGGGAAACTCTAAGTTGTTTCCTAAGAGTATTGTTCTAAAGCATTTGTTGATTACATTAAGTATTTTTTAATTACTTAATTAAATTTCAAGGTTTTTGAAAATGATAAATATAATTTTGTTTTGATATTGAGAGTGCATGCTAATTTTGCAGACAGCTCTAAAGATTTAAAATATCATCCAAGAATATACTCACCTTCACAAGAAACACCTTTAATTCTGGCAAAGCCTCTTGGGCAAGCTGTATCTGTGAGAACAACAGGACACATTTTTACTTCATTATAAAAGAAAATAGAACTGTCTAAGCTCAAAAAAACAGTATGATAGAATCTAAATTGAACTAAATAAAAACCACAAGCCAAGGTCTCTGGATACCCCCTGTTGAATTCAGTGTAGCACATAACATGTTGTGGTAACTACAGCAATGCTGACCCATATATTGAAATTCTCATAATTCTTCCTACAGTTCCTTTTTGCTTTCACAGTGCCAACTGAATTCAAATGCACAAATAAAAGATTTAAAGGAAAGAAAGATATGCTACTGGGACCCATGCAAATAAGGACACTGGAGAATTTTGATAGTTTACCAGCAGTTAAATTCTGACTGATCCCCTTCCTTGTCTAAAATATTGAGAAGGTTTGCTTACAGTAAAAGGATAAACAAAGCACATATTTCAAGAAAAGAATAAGTTTCCCCAGAAAAGACAACATTTGAGGGAGGATAATGATCTTATAGTCTTCCTCACTATGGAAATACATAGTGAGAAAGGTGCCTAGCTGAGGGAGAAGCTTTCCAATGAGAAGCCCAGAGGCCCCCTGGCCAGGCTCCTACCTAGCTCACAGCGCTCACAGGGGCTCCCCCAGGCCGCGCCGAGGGTCGCACAGCATTCCGATTTCAAAGTGGCCCCATTAATGTTCACCTCACAGCGGCTGTCCTGGATATTGAGCCAACATGTCCCTTTCAGGCTGTCTGAAAAGGAAAGGAAAGAATAGGGAGCTTTCATTTCTTATACACACCGACAGTATTTTTTATAGTATTAAAAAAACCAAAAAGATTCTTTAAAAAATTTTAATAGTATATCTTTGAACACATTTACATGTACATGCATTTAAATATAGTACGTTACATACATGTAAATCAAATATTGTATTATATGTATTTCACATGATATGGTAATTAATACAATTATATCTACTAGTATTCTAGGAGCGGCCTCGTTGCCCAAGATTTTACGTAGGTATTTGGGTACTTGCAAACACAGTGCATTATCGTACTAAGATCATTAGTTGAGTAAAGAGTACTCATAAGATTTATCCTTTATGATAACTGCTTTAAGATTTTATCAAATAAAATTGCTCAAATAATCTCTCTGAGTACCCTACCAAATAAACTACACACAATTTATGGTCTATTAGAGAGAAGCCAGTATTTCTCCAACTGAAGATACTTATTTGATGAATAATTTAAAAAAAAAGAAATCTAGAAGATAAAGGAGAAAATACATATTACCTATAAAACCACCACTAAGACATACCGGGGCTAATATTTGATGCATTTTCTTTCAGGCATTTTCTTTTGCATACATATAGATAGTTTAATCTCTGGTTCAAAAGTGGCACATGTTTATGGTAAAGTATTGAAGAAATAGCAAAAAAATATATAAAACTCACCTGGAATCCAACCACCTAGTGATAACTACTCCTAATTTTTTGAGACTACGTCTCCTGATCAAATTGAAGTTCCTCCTTAAATGACTGTTAAATAACTGATTTTGAAGCAGGGACAAGAAATCAAGTCAAAGTTGACATGGCAAATACTAATTGGGTAAAACAAATCATTTGTAAAGTTTTCTTTGCAGAACTGAGACTCACAGTTCAGTGTGTTTAACACCGTCGATGCTATTATTGTTAAAATGCAGTTTCACAAATCTCCAGGTGTAAAACCCAGCAATCGACATTTGACAAGCTCCTCTGATGGTTCCAAAGCAGGTGATGTGTAAAACACCATTTAACAAAATCTTAATAGCATATTGTGGCACACAGACTTGGAAAACAATGAAGGAAAAAGGCATATTCCTACAGTATTTATTTTAAAAAATCAATTAATAATGTGGGCACATAAAGTTTTACTGATAAATTCAACAATAAAAACAAAACATAATCAGAAACACAGAAAGAGAATTATGATAAAACTAGCAGGCTCATGAAGAGAGAAGCTGTAATTTCTGATTCCCTACGGAACACAGCAGTGGGTAAGAGGAAGTTATCTACAACCCAAGCCCTCTGAGACAGAGATTAAAACGAAACAAACAACTCTGTTCTTCACTAAATACAAAAAGTTATGGAGCAAAGATGCAAAGATGCAGAGTCACTTTGCTTTTTAATGTTTTGAAATTCAGTTTGGGTAAAACCTGTGTGCAAATGAAAAAGACCTGCTCATTGGCACTTGTAGTAGGCCTCAAATTACAGGCTTTTTATGGTCTTAAACCTGTAAATTCCAAAGCAAAGAGGAAACAGAGATGCTGGTGTAAGGCTATTGTGTATTTAAATAGTCCAGACTACTGTGTGTTTTAAGGACTCGGATTGATTACTGATTGATGACTTTGGCTATACTCATTTTAAGTCAGATATATTGGAACAGTACTTGCTAGTATTTACTAAGGTAGCAACAAGTACTATTAAAGGCTTTCCATGTAATAGTTATTTACTTGCTAAAACAACCCTGTATGATATGTACAATTTTCAGATAAGAACACTGAGGCACACAGAGGACAACTAATATGCCCGGGGTCATCCAGCTAGTACAGGGTCAACATCGAGTAGAAACTGCATATTCTGATTTAGGAGCCCTCACTCTATAACACCATGCTTCTTTAGGCTGGTATTGTATCAACAATTAAAAGACAAAATCCACTGACAGACACACATATACACCTCTCTCTCTCTCTCTCTCTCTCTCTCTCTCTCTCTCTCTCTCTCTCTCTCTCCCCTTCTCTCATTTGTGCGTATACACATTTACACACACAACATACATGTAGTTATATACTCAGGGGTTATTTAAGATCTCTGAAAAAAATAAAGCAGGGTAAGCAGATTAGAGGCTACAGTAATAACTAAGAAGAGAAATAATGGTGGCTTAGTTTGGGGGTTGCTGGTGGTGGTGGTGGTGGTGAGAAGTAGTTGAAATATGGAAAAACTTCAAGTACAATCAACAGGATTTGCTGATGGATTCAATGTGGAGTTTGAGAGAAAAGCATCAAAGATGACTGCAAAGTTTTGGGGCTGACGACTAAAAGAATGGAGTTGTCATTTGTCAAGACAGAAATGATTCTAGGAGACACCAGTTTAAGCTGAAAGATAGGAATTTGGTTTTAGACACATTAGGTTTGAAATGTCTATTAGCAATGTCTCCAAATGGGGTCACTGTGCAGACAGCTGGAAACAAAAGTCTGAAATGAGTAGAGTGGTTGAGGGTGGAGAGGTAAATTTGAGAGTCAGTGTAGAAGCCACCTAAGCATGAGTGTAGACAGAGAAGCAGAGGTTCAAACACTGATCTGTGGTACACTTCAGGTTGGAGAGCAGGAAGGATGTGTGAGACTAAACAAAGCAAACTGAGCAAATGGGCCAAAGTGAAAGAAGAGGAGGCCAAATATGAAAAAGAAGGGGTGAGTGACGAACCGTGCCAAACACTGCTGAAATGGGCTAAGATGAGGAAGGAGAATAGACCATTGGATCTGACAACAGAGAGGTCACTGCCCCTGTCACGTCCACCTAACTTGAGGACAGAATGCAGACCCACACCGCAGATGAGGGAAATTCATCTGGATTACGTAGAGCCGCCAGACGTGAGCAGCGCGATGCAGGAAAGATTAATCAAATGTACTGTCCTAACATATTGAATCATTTTCAATCAAATGCTATAGTCTTTCAAGCAGTTTACAAACCAGTTTAAGATTAATTTATATTTTGCAGGTTTTCAGAATAGATTCTAAATTCCTAAATATTCTTAGCATCTAATTCATGTGGTTCTAACTTAATTTTAAACTTGAAATCACATCAGGGAATTCTTATTCCGTTCTAAGTTTAGAGGTGTAGACCCTGTGAAAGAGTAGTTTGCAGGCTAATCACTAATTAGAGCCACTCAACATTCCTATTTTAAAAATTTCATAATTTCTCTCTATATATATTTTACTATTTATTTCCTCTTTAAAACTAGAATTCTGTTTTAAATGAAAAAAAAAGCAGGTAAAATGCTGTCTTAATTTTTAAAATATTAAGTAACTATCCTCCTGAGAAGCTCTTGGCTGGAATATACAAATTTGATTATAACAAATAAAAACACTTAGCACATTGGCTGAGAAAAATATGGTGGTGTTTAGTTGCCCAACATAATGACTTGGGAATAAAAAGCCTTTGTTCTTTTTTCATTAATAAATGAGGGTAAAAGGCCAAAATAATAGAAGTGTTTATGATGAAGCAAAAACTAAGATATCTTTGATGCCCAAGTGGCATACAGATTTCGTTTTCTGAGATATTGACTAATGCTGAGTTCATTTCCTTTGCATCATAAAATGACTCTATCTCAGTTGGAAATTGTGGCTTAGCAAAAATACTTTTCCCTCACCAGATCCAACAAACATGCCTTTCCCCCCCCAACCCCCAATCCGGAATTCTATAAGAAAAAAAGCAATGCCCCAGGCAGATGGCTATTTCCTAATATGGAGAGCTGAGCAAGCCTCAAAATTCATCAGCTGTGCCTCACTGGGAGATGAAGAGCTGGCATCTCCAAAGCAAAGGTTTTCGTTGATAACTCTGAACTTGGTCATGTCATGTAACAAACAGGTACTTTAGCATATCATATTATCAGCTAAATATTGTTCACTCCAGACATAATATTGAAAATACTATTCTTTGGCAAATATTAAATTGAAAATTCATACTGACTAGAAACAAAAACAATCAATATATTTGGCACTATGTAAAACTGAAATATCTTTTTATTTGGAAATATATATTTAATTCGCTTTAAAGGTGGTTACTAGTTAATGATATAAACTCTGCTATGTCTAACCAATGGAGCCACAGACACTAAAAGCAGGAAAAAAAATTACCAGGATAGATTTTTTTTCCTTACACGTGCTGAAATGTTCCTTACAGTAATAGATCAGATGATCTTATTTTAGACACATCCTATTGTCATTATCTAGAATCGACTTTAAATGTTTCGCTATATTAAAAGATGTTAGTTTGAAAGTTTTGGAACCTTGCTCCCTTAGAGATTTCCGAAAGCAAGGAAACAGTTATCTTTTCATCTTCTCTTCCTCGAAACCCATAAATTTATGACTGATGGAAGAAATGAGAAAACAAATTCTTTTTATTTGTTTAAAGCTTAAAATCTTCAAGTTCTTGTCCTGTTAACTGAGTCCAAATGCTATCACATTTTTGTTTACCATTGAAGATTGTTTATAAAAAAGTATGCAGCCAGGATTTGACTGTATTGATGCCTAAGGCATTCTCAGAGTAATGAATATAAATATCTGTGCGGTATGGAAACGCTTATAATTTATGGCATAATATATCTACTTATATAAAAGGAACTTCCTAGAATCTAACAAAATTTAACAGCCTATTTAGGTTATGGTATCATGTTTTAATTTACTGCTATGCTGATAAAGAGAGAAAACAACTACAGTAACTTCTAATTATTAGCTTTCTGTAATGATGTTCTGTTTTTATCCACAGTAAAGCCTGAGGTCTCTGCTTATCTGAGTGAAACTGAAACATCGGCATCGCGTATGCATCTTACCAATACAGATCAGTCCTGTTGAGCTGAGTTTGCTGCCAGGAGAACATTCACAGTTGAAAGATCCAAGGTTGTTCCTGCAGGCCCCATTGACACATGGGTTGCTTTCACATTCATTTATATCTACAATCCAGAAGGAAAAGATTCTGTTAGAACCGCCATGTGTTTCTGGAAAATATTATTCCAGCAAGCCATGCTATGCCAGAATGTCTGGTAAACTTGGCTCTTATAACTTTAATATGGATGTATGAGGCATAAAGTGAATGGGGAATGGAGACATGCATTTTACAGGGTGGATACACATATACACAGCTGGGGACGCAGTAGGACTACAGGAATCAGCCTATTTGGAAAAGGTTTAGGATGTGACTATCCTACCACAACTTTACATAAATTGGATTGATTTTCTCCCATAATAAGATGTAATTGTCCTTTGGGGAATCTGAATTCTGATTCCACGGAAAGCTACACGTCGCTAGATGCAACATGCTGTGCACAAACAAAAGTTAACTATTTCTGTCTTTTTTGGCTCTGTGATGTTTTGGAAGAATTAAAAAAGCGTATATTAGAGGCAAAATATCACCAAGCTAGCTTTAATTCCAAACTCCTGGATACAAATCAGAAAACAAGGAATGAAACATCAATACTAGGTATAGCATTCTCCTCCAGCCCTTACCCACCTTCCTCTCTCTTCAGCCCATTCACATTTACATGTTTGTTTGGTGTGGAACGTTTTTAAAAGCACAACTGAGTTTGGTAAAATAAAAAAGTGAAGAAACTTTTAATTGTTTCAAGTAGACCTTTACTATCATTAATTTGTTTTGAGTCCTAAATCAAATCCTATACTACAATCTAAACAATTCTTGTTGATAGTCAGAAGTAAACAGAATTAGAGTATGAATGCCTACATTCTCAAGTGGTGATGAACAGAATTGTCAAGCCAATAAAGTTAAACAGTTCAACATGAGTTAATTAAAAATAAATACAAGTTTCAGCTAAAGTACTACAAACAATATCAAAGATCGCCTTTCAGTATAAATTCTACCACTCAATTTAAAGAAGGGGTACAGAGATTTCTTTTTGTACTTGGTTAATTATCTAAAACAGATGAACATACCTCTTCATTTTTTTGTTGTTGTTGAACACTGGGGTTTCTAAGTTCATAAGAATACTTTTATTTTTCTAAACACTTCTTTGAATTAAATATAAATTATTATATGGAGGAAAACATGCAAATAAATAAGATTGTAACTATATGCTTGCTCTTGAATGTCTTAAGTCAAATATAAACTAAACTGGTCCTGAAAAGTCAGGGCTCGCTGTTGATTTTTAAGTTAGTGAATTTGAAATGCAAAGTTAAAAATCAATGTGAAAAACAAGTGTGCCCCTTCTTTGCTATTTCAAAACTACTAAAGAAGTACCCAGATATTAATTTAATTCTTGAAGTAGAAATTGTTTGAGGAAATATAAATACATTTTTCTTTCAGGTTATTTGTAGCAAGAAAAAACTCTTATAAAGAAAAATACAAGAGCAGGTTTTATAAATACAGCTCAGATTTGGAATGAAAAACTTTATTCAAGAGTACTGACATTCTTTCAGTAAAAACAATGTAAAAAAGAAATCAGATAATCAGGAACCAGATAACTAACCTGAGGACAGACAATAGATAATTCACTTGTTAATTTCATTTGTAAGAAGCTCTCCAAACAGAAAAATGTCAATATCATCTATTTCCAAAATCCCAATTTTAAATTAAATAGTTAATAATTCAAAAACTATAAACACATGCAATGACAGCTACAAATATCAACTGTTTAATTTTTCCTTAAATACAATGTTTTTATGTTATAAATGTCATGGAACCAGGAATTGAAACAGTTCACTGTACATTCCTGGAAATAAACTTCAAAGCACATCTGGTTTATATTTTAACTAGTTATGTCACTGGAAACACAATCTAAACCACAGTGCTTGCTGTAAAAATTTTAACATTCACAGGCTCTCAGAGCTCAAACAAAAAAAGTAAAATAAATTTTTTGTAACTTCAGTCTGAAATATCAGAGGAACTTTATTATTACTGCTATTTATTAAATATTTAAAATAGCCTGTTGAAACGTGAACGGCAAGCAAAATTAGTGAATACAGCAAATATATACAGAGAAAGTTAGAGTCTGCAGTGAATCTTCTAATAATTCTCTGTCTAGTCTTCGGAAATTAGTTTAGAAATAGAAGGAAAAGAACTGCTTCAGGCAGACAAATTTACTATGTGAATTCGATGGTGGAAATAAGGAGGAGACCCAAGGGAAGAAGAGATTCGTGGCCTTCAGGTCTTTATTTTTTTTCCAAAACATTTAATCAAATGCAAATAACAGGGGGAATAAAATGTAGAAATAAAAGTTATGTGGTTAGTTTTCTCATGATAAATCATTTATATTTCCGCCAGTGTCATAAGGCTAGAATCAAAGTATTCTTCTATCATTTCTTTCATTTATACAACATGAACTTCTTTTTTTTTGAATGAAAGATATAAAATATATTTCATATTAAAGAAAAGGCTCATATTTATCAGGAACAATTACCCTTTGGACAAAATAAGTGAAGAGCACCATTTCTAACGCTCGCTGTTGCTGGGTTAACGTGGCCTAGTATTATGTAATCATCCAACATTATACTATTAAATACCATTTGCTCCTACTCTTCGACTGTTCACATAAGCAGGAGAGTCCCTGCCTTTTATTTATTCTTTGGTTATATCAGCTCTTAGTACCCTTCAACTCCATCTTACTTGTTAAAATGGAGGGAATATGCTATAAATAATGCTGACAATTTGATACACAAACCAGACTTTGACCACCATCTATTTAGTTCTCCATTATGTGTCTCTCACAATAGCACCAAAGGGTATTGTCGCTGTGGACAGGGAAACCAGTCCTAATAATCATCAGCTTCCCAGTTAAATCAAGGAGATATCCTACACTGTTCTTGCTTTCAAAGTTTCTTAACATTTAACAGAAGCTTATCCTCCAATAGACAATAGATGAAATGATAAAATAATAAAAGACAGTGGGAAGGTAATGTAGAAAGTTGGGAATAAAGAAAAGAAATTATTAATAAACTCTTGAAATCTCTTCCACCCACCAAAATACTCATGGAGGAAATATGGGTACAATACTTTTCTACAGAGTATGTTTCTCAGAGCAATTCTGCAGGATAATAGGCGTTGGGGTGGGTGGGAGTGGGTGCTAGAAAATGAAGCTTCTAGGTGAATACATTTGAGAGGCCTGAGCTAGTTTGAAAAGAGAGTTTCTATATCTTACAGAAGAATATTTAAAACTCTCAGAGAGCTCAGATGAACCCCCTGTTTATAGATGAAGATGAACCTTCAAGTACTTTAACTGGGAATGGAATGAACCTCTTCTTTGAAGAGCTCCTGTAAAATGCGGTAAACAGGAAGGGAAACAGTTATCAGAATTAAAATTACAAAAACTGCATTTTGTGCTGATGTTTTCTTTTTCTTTCTTTCTTTAGGCTAATTACTGTTTTCCAGTGGTCCCTCCAATTCAATCCAAACTTAGAAGTGCAGTTTGTAATTGCATTTCATTGACTTCAGCTGAATCATTTGTGTTCTGGCATCTTGTTCCAGTCCTAACTTGTTACTGTTCACAAGAATGCTTTGAAGTTAAACAATAAGATGAAGAGAGAATGTTAACATCTTTTTGCATAATATTACTATTGCAGTTTTCTTGGCTGTAGAGTGACTAAGAAACAAATACTTGAGCAGATGAGAAAAGGGCTATTCAAAATCTCTTTTTAAAGTTACTATTCGGAAGTAGTTATTGCATTTGATAATGTCATGGGACACTTCTGTAAGCCCAGTTAGACCTAAAAAGGAACAATGACGAGGAGTCATACAACAGAATATTCTGAAGTACACAGTACTTTGATCAAGAAACCAAAACATAATTAAATGCACTCATTGCTTAGCTGGTATCTCACTAAAAACGAGGCCTTCTCTAACCATTTAACTCATTCATGTAACTTCCACTGCACAAAAATGTGGTTTAAAAAAAAGAAGCAGCTTTTAAAACTGGTTTATGATCTACAAGATCAAACAATAACTTTTAAATTTTCAAATGAAAAAGACGATTTTCTTAGAATATAAATTTATTAAGGTGGCAAATTTTAGTCAGGCCCCAAATATTCTGGATCATCCTCTGAGGTTATATCAATTACTTCATAAATAAAATGCGTAAGAACAGAATTTGCCATTATAATTCAGGTTCCCCTAGGCTAATGTGTCCTAGTGGTTTTTAAAAAGGGAAAACAAAGTAAACGAAAATCTGACATTTTATTTCAGCAAGTAAAACAAACTGGCTCCTTTCGCTTTTTTCACTTTTGTTTTTAAATGTCAAAATGTTTGTTCCAAATGTTTGTTGATATTTTATCCGAATGGAACAAAACTGACGGTATTTGTAAACTGGGTTAGGCGCACGTTATTTCTAAAACTGGCAGGTTAGCTGAAAGAGATTATAAAGCTAAAAAAATATTTAAACAATACTCTTTTTACTACATTGCTTCATCAATTTATCTGATGTTTATGCGAATCTAGGTGCTTACGTATTTACATCTAAGACAAGGAAGACAGTTCTTACCTTCACACGTCTCTGTTTCAGTCCTGAACACATACCCAGGTGGGCACGTACAACTGTAACTTCCAGGTGTGTTTCGGCACAGGCCATTGTCACAGAGCAGCCTGTTCACCAAGCACTCATCGATGTCTGGGAGTATCCATTAGAAGACAAGGAGATACGCATAGTGAGACATAGAGCAAAGTAACCAATGAAATTTTATTTTTCTTTCTCATCCCTCTCCTTGACATAGTCTCTTTGTAGCCACAGCACATTCTTTAATCCCAAGCAAATATGTTCGGTTTTATTCAAATGAAACCATTTTATGCTGGTGTTTTGAAATCTCAGGGAGGTAGGTATGCTGTAGTTTGGAAAAGGCATACGACTACTTTGTTCTTCATTTACATATTGTCCTGTAGTGGTAGTGTATTAAATATATTTTTAAAACACTGATGAAATATATTAGAAAATTAAACTCATCTGCCTAATATGATTGCTTATATAATAGAAATAACATTTAAAAAACTTTTTCCTGATTAAAATTCTAATGAAGAATGCATTAAGTGGCAGTTGAACAAAAGGTATTTACTAATCTTTTCTCACTATGTTTTTACCTCAGACACAATTATTAATGGGAAATTAATGATGTATTTTATTTATTCCTTTGGTAGTCTAGAACAACTTCAAAATTAGTAAAAGCTCAAGTTTAGAAGCTCACATTGAGTTTTGTCTTCATACCCACACTCTCATTTTTTCAAGTGTCATTAATGACAGAAAGAAACAAAAATTGTGGTTTGCGGTGGAGAGTTCCTTTCACTTAAAGTTATATTTTTAGTCTTGCAAATAACAATTGTCCCCAACCAAACACTATACTAATATTGTAAAAATATGGAAAACAGAGATTAAAAAACATTTCCTATAGTTCCATCACTACTCATAATATTAATTTTTTGTGTTTTAGCTGCTCATTTTTCCTTTGGATATAATATTTCTGCTCCAATTTTGAATCTTAATTTTTAAAAATCAGCATTACATTTTAAGCATAACCATAATTTTCCCCATGATTGCATGTTTTATCAAGTGGCTGTATCACAATTTATTTACCCATTAGTCCATGCTATGGGTTGAAATGTGTCCTTCAAAAAAAGATATGTTGAAGTCCTACCATCCAAATACCTCAGCATGTGACTTTTTTTGGTAACAGGATTGTTGTAGAGGTAATCTACTTAACATGAGGTCATTAGGGAGGTTGCAAGCCAATAAGACAGGTGTCCATATAAAAAGAAGAGATTCAGACATAGAGACACACACGGAAGGAAGATGATGTGAAGACACACAGGAAAGAGGAATATGTGACCAGAGTGATGCATCTACAAGCCCAGGAATGCAAAAGGAGTTCTGAAACACCAGAAGCCAGAAGAGAAAAGGAAGGATTCTCCCCTAGAGCCATGAGAGAGAGCATGGCTCTGTGGATACCTTGACTTTGGAGTTTTGGCTTCTCAAACTAAGAGACAATAAATTTTTGTTGTTTTAGGGAACCCGATTTTTGGTACTTTGTTACAGCAGCTCTAACAAACTAAAACTTAAATTTGGCTTCATTTTTATTTTTAAAACCTAGGTTTAATTTTTATCAAAATTATGCATATACCTAATGCAAAGAGTTAAGCAGTGCCATGAACTGTGTTCAGTGTGCGAATGGTCACTGAATCTCCCTATTTTCAATAGCGTGTTCACGTACTTAACTGTACTCGGAAGCTATGCTGGAAGCAACTTTGCTTTTGGTGAATAAAAGTTAGATGGTTCGCATACTTCGTAAATGTTCAATAATCTCTGGCTGGTACCCTTCTCTGTAAGTATCAAAAACTATTATTAATACATGATATTTAATATAGTTTTATATATCCATCTGTATATATTTCTTCAACTTAAGATCAAATGAACATATTCAATAATAAAAACCAGCACCACAAGTACAGAAAAATGTATTTCTTTCTAATCATAATCAAGACTTGAATGTGGTATAAATGTGAAAATTGCAGTGATTAGATGTAAAAATTATTAAGTATTACGATGGATCGAATAACATTTGTTTTATAAAGATGGACTCAAATGTTCTATGGGAAAATATAGATTCTTCACAAATTCTTGAATATATGAACTACACACTTGAGTATTTTCAAGCATTCTCTTATAAATTACCCATCTCAATTATCATGTTGAGATACGTTGTAGCAACTGGTTGTTTCTTTCTAAGTCAAAGTTTTGTCAACCTGTAGTACTTTATTTTCTTAACTTACTATTACTCATACTGTCCTATTAATTTTTGAAGTCTGTTTCTCAGTGAAAAATTATAGAATTAAGATACATGCAGAAAAATACCAAGATAATAATTTAGTATGTGCCCATTTGATAAAAGAAAATTTTAAATACTAAGTTATGCCACTAAGAAGCTTGGAACTATGTAACAGAATTTGCCTGATTCCAAAATTTTTGTATCTTTGTGTACTAAGAAGGAAACAAGAAAAACTGTAAGATCTCTAGTTTTAGTCATCTATTTATATTTTGATTTCTCCTATTATGAA